CGCTCTCGACGTCCGGGAACCCGGAGAAGGAAGCGGAGGGGAAGGGTGGGGCTGAACCTGTGTCTCGCGCATGCGTGCGCTATACAAACCATTTGGCGGGTTTTTTCGGCCTTCTCTGCACTGCTCTGCCCCCGTCACTGAGATGATCAAGGGTGACTTTTAGAAGGTAGGACGCTCTCCCCAGGAGAGTGACTTCTCAAAATTTCTATTCCCTTCCTTCAGGCGTTTGGGAGCTTCCAAAAAAAGAAAGTATTTCTCCGTGACTGACGGCTGGGTCCTTCAGGCCGCCTGAGGTCTTGGGCCATTTGGTCACTTTTCGTCTCGGTCTCCCGGAGAGTGAAAAGATCAGAGGGACGGCGTCAGGTTCGTCGATCTCCACGCCCCTGCGTTTCTTGGAGTCAAGCCGGAGCTGGGACGGCCTGGCCCCGTTCCTGGGTCATCATGGCTGTGTCCGCCCAGCTCTTGGTGCAGGAGTTGCAGATCTTCGGCCTAGAATGCGAAGAGGCTCTGATTGAGAGATGTGAGTCCCTTGACCCCTCCCCGGACCCCAGCCCGGGTCCACGCTCTTGCTCCATATTCCCAGTCACCTAGAACCAAAAAGGGAGTGCTTCCAAGTTTCCCCCCAAGCCCTCATGGGACTTCTCCATGTTTGTGAGATGAATTAAACTGAGTTTTGAGATTTGGGATGTGAGGACTTTGAAATGCCCACAGGAGTCTTTCTGCTTGGCTCTCAACTCAAAAATAAGAACATGAAGCACAATTTTAAATCAGCGCAGTTTCAGAAAGGTGGAATTGGGACAGGCCAGGTTCGCAGGAGGCTAGACAACATCTCTGAGGTTAGAAACTGTTTAAGCCTCAAAAACAAAGCAAGAGATGTAGCTTTTTATTCCTGGCTTCTCCCTAAATGTCTGCTGATCGTCATTTCTTATCAAAGCTGTTGGTGATCTGTGCAAATGAGTCCCTTGAGATGGGTTCCTAAAATTGAATTTTGGCTTGGGAAAGAACTTTAAGGAGGTTGTCAGCTGTTTCCAGATGGAGAAACAGATAAGGAGAGTTAATTGGTTGAGCTGGTCTGTGAACCAGGTCTCCTGTCCCGCAGTCTAGTGCTCCATTATATTGGTTCATCGAATTGGTCAGGCTCTGGGGCAGCTTACGGAGTTGGAAGCGAAGTCTTGGGAGATGTGGACGTTCTCAGTTTTAGAATCAGGATGATTGTACACCTGCCTTAATCATTCATCAACACTTTGAACTTCTTTTTTAATATATAAAACCAGAATGCAAACATGATCATTTATGAGAGACTAGAATACTGTTGCTTCCTTCTCCCCTGGGGATGCACTGGCAATGGTGTTGGAATTCAAGACTTTGAATTCATAATCACTAACCTCAGTGGAACGTTAATCTTGTCTGACAGTCACCTTATTTCCCTGGTCTGTCCACTCTAAGTCTCCTGATGACTATTTTCTACCTTCTCCTTTAACAGCCTCTGTCCCACTCTCGCTCTCAGCTGATGAACTTACTTCCTGTTTCGATGAGAAAATAGGAATTAAAAAACTTCTTTAAGCTACCACTGTTACTTCCACTTCCCTGTGTTTGTGCCACCTACCTTGCCTCCTTCCCATTACAATGAAGAACTTCTCTGTATTTCTAGCAAAAGCCACAGCTTCCACTTGAGTCCTAAACTCCATTCCTTCTTACCTTCTTAAGGACATCACTCCAGTCATTCTCTGCTCTTACGTGTTTTCTGTTTTTCTCTCTGTAAGATTTTTTTCCTAATAGTATAGAAATGTTCTTATTCCCACCTTTTAAATACTGCATTGTCCCCAATTCTCACTCCAGTTCTCTCCTTCCCAATTACAGCAACCTCCTCTAAAGGATTGCCTATACTTGCGTCTTCAAATTTTTCCTCCTTAAGCCCATTTCAGTCAGCTTTTTCATCCCCACCACTTCACTGAAACTGCTTCTCTCAGGGTCACCCATAACCTTCACCTGGCTAAAGCCAGTGATGAATTTTTAATCCTCATTTGGATGAATAGCAGCATTTAATGCTATTTATTGTGTCCTTTTACTTTTTTTTTAATTTGTTTATTTTTTTTAATTGAAGTATAGTCAGTTCACAATGTTGTGTCCCTTTCTGGTGTACAGCATCATGTTTCAGTCATACATATATATACATATATTCCTTTTCATATTCTTTTTCATTATAGGTTACTGTAAGATATTGAATATAGTTCCCTGTGCTATGCGGGATAAACTTGTTGTTTATCTAATATTTTTCTCTTAGTTTCTTGGACACTCCTCCCAGGTGTTCTCCTATCTTGCTTGTCACCGCCTGCCTCTCAAGCTTTGCAGGTTCATCCCTATCCGAGCCCCAAGATACACTGTCTTGGTGATCTCGCCTAGTCTCATGGGTTTACATTCAGGTATTTGCTGATGATTTTCAAATTTGTATCTTAGCCCAGACCTTCTGCCTGAACTGCAGGCTGGTCTACCTACAAGAAGTCTCCAGTTGGATGTCGGATTGGTATCTCAAACTCCATGTGTCTAAAGCTAAGCTCCTGCTCCCTCTCTGCATAGTTCTTCCTGCTGCCTCCCCACCTGTGTTAATGGTAACTGCACCTTCCAGGTACTCAGGCTGAAAACACAGCATCATCCTTGACGCCTTTCTTTCCTCACCCCTCACATCCAGTCAGCAAATCCCCCTGGCTTTACCTTCAGGATGTTTCCTGTCTGGAATCCAACCACTTCTTCCCTCCTCCATTGCCACCACCTTGATCCAAGCACCATCATCTCTCATCTGGATTTTGCCATGATTCTCTCAGTTGGTCCCCTGATTCTGCCCTTGTCCCCTTCAGACTGCTTAACACAGCAGCCAGGGTGAGCCTGTTAAGTGGAAGTCAGATCATGTTACTGTTCCGTTCACACCCTCTAGGGGTTTCCCAGCTTGCTCAGAGTAATGACAGTGGCCGACAGTCTGCACCCCCTTTACCCTTTCAACTCATCTTCTGTCTCCTTCCTCATTCCAGCCACAAAGGCCTTGCTGACCTTGCATCTCCTGAAAGCTTTTCCCCTCAACACTGCCTAACTCACTCCTTTCCTTCCTTCAAGTCTTTACTCAAATGTTACCTCCTCAATGAAGCCTACCTTAATCACCGTTTAAATTGCCAGCCCCTCCCCCAACTCCCTCATCCCTCTCCAGGCTTTATTTTTCTTCAAAGCACATTTAGCCATCCAACGTACATATTTTCTTATTTGTTTGTTTTCTGTCTCCCCCAGTAGTAAGCTGCTTGGGGAAGGGTCCGTCTCTTTCTCGTTCACTGCTGTATTCTCCTGCCTAGAACAGTGCCTGTCCCTAGGGGGTGCTGAATAAATGCTGATTGCATAAATAGAGGATTATTTTCACTTCTCAAGTTGGAAGCTACAGGAAATGCAGTAAGTTCTTACGTGTCCAATTTTCCCTCCTGCAGTGGCAGAGCTGTGCATTCTATACGGGCAGAATGAGGAGGGGATGGTGGGCGAGCTGATAGCCTTCTGCACGAGCACTCGCAAAGACTGCCTCACCTCAGAGGTCCTGAATCTTTTGAACATGAGGTAAGAAGAAACTGTAAGCAAACTAATAATGTAATTGTTTCTGCTCATCCAGGAGGCGGCGTGGTATATTGAGAAGAGTAGGGGCTTTGGATTCAGGCCTCTTATTTCTTATTTTGAGGGATTTTATATCTTTGATTATATTTCAATTGCCTGTTATTACCTCATGGCTATGGAAGACACCTTCTTTATTACTTGACTATGGAATAATAACTCATTATCTTTTATTCCTCAGTTTCTGAGCAAAAGGCTGTCCAAAGCTGGGCACACTGCCTCCAGGGACAGCGGGCACGCAGGAGCCAGAGACATTGTTTCCATACAAGAGCTGTATCCTTTGCTGCTGAAGGCCTTTGCATCAAGCGACATACTGCATTTTATCATTTGTCTGTCGTTGCACATGCACTTAAAAACAATTAAGTGTAACTAATACTCAGATTTCTTATTTAATCAACCCTTGCCTTAGATTTTGGGTGGAAGTTTATTGTTTCTCTTAACCAACGTTTTTAGAATTGAAGTGGAGGAGGAAGAGGAGACCCTCTTGAACTCTTACACCACCCCCTCTAAGGTGCGTGCACCGTGTTTGGAAATTACATTCTATAAGTCACTTTTGTTTCTTTATTCTAAATATATTATCAGGAGGAGGGTATAGTTCAAGTGGTAGAGTGCATGCTTATCATGCACGAGGTCCTGGGTTCAATCCCCAGTACTTCCTCTAAAAATAAATTAAGTAAACCTAAATACCTCCCTCCCCCAGGACCCCCTAAAATAAAATTTAAAAAAAAGAAAACTGAAATGAATAAAAATAAAAATATTATCACACCATTTGAAGTTCTGAGGGAGAAAGTTAAGCAATCGTACGGTTCCTACTGTATTTCCACTTGTGCGTCTTCCTTTCGGATCACATACATAGATGTTTTTACATGATGGTAGTCTTTCCTTGTAGACAGTTATCCTACTTTCTTCAGTTAGCATATCATAAAGTTTTTATAAATACAATTTCCCCATAATTACTCTTTTTTAACGGTTGCCTAGTTTTGTATCAAGTGGAAATACTATAACTGAATAATCCAATTCGAGTGTTGGACCCCACTGTGAGATGTGGAGTAGGGCAGTGGAAAAGCATTGCCCTCAAAGCCTGAGTCAAAGACCTAGGTGACCTTGGGTGAGATGCTTTTCTCTCTCTGAGCTGCCATTTCCTTTCCTATGAAATCAGGGTTCATTCATTCATTTACTGAGCAGCTACTGTGTGCCAGGCACTGTACTAGACACTGGGTAAACTGGTGAATGAAGCAAGCATGGGTGTGCGCTGCTCTCAGGAAACTGACAGCCAGTGGATAACATCGCCTATTGCGGAAGGCTTGAAAATAAAATGACTATGTGAAGTGCCAAGCCCAAAGCAGTGTATTCAGTAACAGTAGTTACCTTTTATAGGAAATAAATTTTTGGAAATCCTTAAACAGGGAGTAAGTGTTCATTTTTCAAAGTAAGTTACGCTGTAAGAAAGCAGGTGAGTAGTTTAGGTGAGCCTTTTGGGGAGCAAGAAAGCCAAAATGTTCACAGCACCAAAGTTGATTGTATCTTGGGGAGCTAATAATGATCATTCAGCTCTCAGACTGATGCGTAAGTCAGATGCAAGTTCATTTAACTACCTGTTAAAGTATACCCCCTCTGATGGCTGGAATACCGTATTGAGGGCACCCCGTTCCTGCTACAAAAGTACTTAGGAGGCTGAATTACGGATCAAAATTTGTGACCACAGAATCAGAGCTAAGAGAGTTGGAATGAAATGAGCAAATGATTTGAAATATGTGTCTGAAGCTCAGAGGAAGTGCAATTTGGGTCTGGGGTGGAGGCATGAAAAATACTGAGAACCAGGCCCATCACATGGAAACTGCCTGACCACTGCCAGGCACCAGCGCAGCACAATGACAGAGTCAGAGCCCAACGTTGGCTCTGGTTCCCCAGCCCAGCAGCACCAGGGTGGGATCTTGGGGGCAGGAGTGCCCTGGTACAGAGGTGACTTTGTCAGTGCTCTTAGCTCATCACCATTAAATATCTGGCTGTGCAGTTGACACACTTGCCCCTGTGCTCACCATAACTCCCAGTTATAATTTGACTCTCCACACGTCCTGCCTGACAAGGGAGAGTTGTGTTAGCCTGAGGATTTGAAGTTCCCATGCTGTCGGCTTTACGTTTCTAATAAATGAATAAACTGGCATCCTGGGCTATAATTTGGGTTTCTGGCTGATGTGAGGGTATGAGACTCCGGTCCCTCTGTGTTTCTCATTACAGGTAGATAAACTGGCACATAGTGTCAGCAGTGAGTCTCCTGAGCTGGGTTAGAGGGAACACATCCCTGAGGAACGTAACTGGAGCAGGTTTGCTGACACAGTCAGGTTTCACCACGAGGGCTGAGGCTGAGAGCTACGAGCCTCTGCTCTCTCCCCGAACCCTATCTTGTCCAAGAGACAGACCTGGAATTCTGTAGCCCGCTGAATGTTAGAAAGGTCTTTCGGGAAAATAGTTTGAGGAAATATATCAAAACCATAAAATCTTTTCCATCCTTTGGCCCAGTAATCATCCCTAGTAAGAATCTCTCGTGGGGAAATAATCTGAATTATAGGAAAAGGCTATGTGTGTGAAGATGGCTGTCTCAGCATTACGTAGAATCACCAGAAATTACAAACAACCCATACGTCCAGCAATAGAGATGTATTATATATCAATTCAATCATCACAGCTACTAAGAAGGATAAAGATTGTGACAATGTGGGAAAATGCTCATAATTAAAATACAGCCAAAAAATCAGTTATAACAAATGTTTATATCTAAGATTGTAACTACTAGAATTTGTATTTTTTAACTGGAAAAATATTAAAATGCTAGGAAGGAATATTTTTAAGTGGTTATTGTTTAAGGGAGGTAGCATAAGGGCCTTTTTAAAATCTAGTTTCCATTCCAGCTACCTGATGGTTTTGAATCCATTCTGCACGTGTCGCGTAGTCACCCCGGTAGGCAGCTTTGGTGGCATGACTTAAACACGCAGCCAGGAGGAGCCCAAGGGCAGGGAAACGTCTGCAGGCTGGCCAGCCCCCTGGTTGCAGTCCAGGCGAGGATTTTGTCTTTGCTTGGCCACAGTCAGTTATCCCAGCCTTTGGGAAGCAATAGATCTTGGGACTGCGTTTCACCCTTCATTCTGGGCATCTCTTTGGATTCTTGCTGATGAGCAAAACCCAGAAAACAGCAGTGACCATCAGTGAGGCATTTGCTAAATACTCTCCAAGTATGAGCTCAGCCATGTTATCTGCCCAGAGTCACTCCCTTCTTAAATTTTGAAAATGTGTTGTAGACTTGCCAAAACAAGCAGTAACACGGTCCCATCCCTTGTCAGGAAAATGCGTCCACACAGGTCAAAACCAAACCCATAGCAAAACTCACTGCTGTTCTGAAGCAAAGAGAAGTGGGGAAGGAAAGTGAACACATGAGAGATTTGACAGGACAGATTGCCTGCTTGGCAGTCCTTCTGGGGGAATGTTGTTGGCTTTTTTTCATAATTGCCTCCAAAGTGGAGACTGTACTGTTGAATCCTGGGTTACAGTTGCTGAAGGTCTCTGAGAGGTTACGCCTGGAAGGCAGGGCCTTAAGGAGAAGCAACCCTGGCCCAGCGTATGCCCTTCGCTTGGGCACCGTTCTCCCTTTCTTTCTAAGAAACTCTACCTTTAATTAGCAACTTGGGTCTAGAGAGACTGGACTCTTTTTCTGTTTTGTTTCCAGGGTTCTCAGAAGCGAGCTATCGCCACCCCAGAAACCCCCCTCACAAAGAGGAGCGTGTCTGCCCGGAGCCCCCATCAGCTCCTCTCGCCATCGAGTTTCTCTCCAAGGTATGCAGCACAGCTAATTCCGCCGCCAACCAGCAGGCCTGCCCGCCCCCTTCCCTGGTCACCTGGCGGAGGCCACCTCTGCAGCGTGACTCCGTGCACGTGGGTGGACGTTCACCTCTGCTGTGAACTGACCGGAAAGCCTATTGCTCCCTGCCCTCCCTGCTTTCTCGTCCTGTGTGGAAAATTACTGTTTCTTACGGTAATTAAGGAAACTCGCTTTCCACCCACTTTTCTGGAGCTCATTTCCTAGATCAGGAACTGATATCTTCTACTGAAAACAACCTGTCTATTCAGAAGTCTGGGAGGCCTACACGTCTCGCCAGTAGAGGCAAATGGGTCTCCACCTGCTTCTGTTAGTTCATTTGTTGTTGGGTTTCTTCTTTTTTTTTAATCTATTTATTTTTTTAAAAAAGAAAAGCACGTATCTTTGTTCATAATGTTGCGTAACCTGTTTTTTGTTCCTCACTCAGGTTACAACTAGTTTCTGAGAGTTTTCTTGTCACTGTGAATCTACGCCGACTTAATTGGTATTTTATCCCTGCTGCCACCTCTGCCTGTAAATCCACAAAGACCACATGTGACTTTTTGAAATCTGTAAATGACACGTCTTCCGTGAGAGAATTCCATAGGCGAGAGCTCTGCTGAGTAGAAGAAAAGGTTTTCAGTGCTGCCCTGTCAGGACGAGGCTAAGGAGCAGAAATGTTAGCCAGCCAGGGACACACTCACTGCCAGGAGTCACTGCTTCAGGCTGAGCCGAGCTTCAGATTTTCCGGCCCTGTCACGTTAGAAAGGAGGCAATAGCCGTCATTCAAGACGAGCAGTAGTTGGATTCAGAGGACAATTTGACTTTAGCGTGGTCCACTCCTGCTTTCAGGGGTTCTCCAACTGGCTTCTGAAGGGAACCTTCTAGATTAGAAGGGCACCTTTGGAATGTGGTACACAGAGATGGTTCTCACAGGTGTGCCTGCACTGTTAGAGCAGTTCTGTTCTCTCAACAAGCAACCCTCTGAAATCCAGATCTGTTTACAGCTGCCCTCGCTCTAGCCTGTCACTGTGTCAAAGGGCCAGCTGTGATGCTCGCCCCACGGAGCCCCGCAGGGAGGTGCTCGGAGAAGCCGGCGATGTGCCGCCCAGTCATTTTGTGATGCACGCTCATAAAGCTGACATCAGAAACTGGTTTTGTAATTTATGAAAGTAACTTCTAAATTATTCAGGCAGAGGCAGGCTGGAGACTGGTAATTAATCAAGCTCGTTTTCTGTAGCCTCTGTAGAAAGAAGGGATGGCGGCACCCGCTGCAGGGGAGCCCACGTAGGACCAGTTCCTGCAGTTTTGGTGCATGAAATGAAGCCCACTTTAATCAGGCCTGTCTCTAAGTTCTGTTCACAGCTGAAGGGTTGGAAGCCCCCACTGTCCTCTAAGCAGATCAGGAGCACCCATGTGTCCTTGGAGGTGTGATTTATCAGCCAGTAAGTGGAAATACGAGAACTTGTCAGCTGAGACTTGGAGAATGGGAATGTTTGTTCAACAGCTGACTGAATTCATTCCACGTCCACCTCCAATGACACTGGGGAAAGTTGATTCATTTCATTTAACTTCATTTTGTTGTTGTTTCTACCGTGACCTGTATTATGAGGTATGACTATGCACAGCAACTTTTGGCTTACCCACCGTTCTGGGCTCCGATGTTGTTCTAGTAAATGCTAAAAATTCCTAAGAAAGAAAAGAAAATGTGGTACTCAAAACTTGCTTTTGAATCAGTTCAGGGTTTGGGTTTTGTTTCACTTTGTTTAGTGTTAAGCCAAGGGAAGACCTGTTAAAATATGTCTGTCTCTAAACTTCTCTAAACACTTCTGGTATTCCTCAGCCTGGTATTCCTCAGCCCTCCTCATTCCTGAAATTCCTTAAAGGTCCAGGATGTCCAAACCCATTAAGCTGATTAAATTTATAAAATGTGAGGCCAGCCTGACGTTTCTCTGATCCCCATTTCCAAAAGGTGACTTCAGTTTATTCCTCTCTCCTTTTAGACACGAACACAGTAATGTTAATGTCTTTTGCTTCCATTTAGCGCTACTCCCTCTCAGAAATACAACTCGAGAAGTAACGGAGGAGAGGTGGTTACCTCCTTTGGCTCAGCGCAGGGGGTATCTTGGTCTGGGAGAGGAGGAGCCAGTAACGTCAGCCTGAAGATCTTGGGGTCTCCAGAGCCACTAACCAGGAGCTACAAATTGATGTTTCAGAAGCTCCTAGACATTCGAGAAGGTAATTATTTTTCTCTTTGAAATTCTGAAGGATATAAAACTACCTGGAAGTGTTTCGAGTCTGTAACAAATCTTCAGCTAGGCTGGTAGAACAAGTTTCAAGGTTGCCTTTGACTATGTAGGTTGGTAGATGTCCTCTGGGTGCCCCTGTTAGTAAAGGGACATGAAGTGATATGCTTTATATATAGATATCTTTTTTACTTATTTATTATTGTATTATTTAATTACTTTATTTTGGCTGGGGTGGGTAATTAGGTTTATTTTTAGAGGAGACACTGGGGATTGAACCCAGGACCTCATGCATTCGCTCTGCCACTTGAGTTATACCCTCTCTCTGTGATACTCTTAATAATTCTCCCAAATCACATCACTTTGCCATCTTCCAGTAACAACCACTTGAACAGTGTGAAGGAAGCCAATTAAAGTAGTAAAGGCAGCAGACATTTATGGGTTTTTCCTTGTGAAGAATGGAAGGTTCTCCAGGTTGGGCTTGGCTTCCCGTAAAGCTCCCTGACGACCTGAGTGAGAGGAAGGCTGGGTGGGAGCCAGGCTGACGCTGGGATCATGCCCTGTGGCCCCCTGTGGCCACATGGAAGGTGGGGTTCAGCCAATGTCAGGAAATTGACTAGGGCTTCAGAAAATACAGCCTGGCCGGTATCCTGGTTACCCTTCCCGCTTCTGTAAAATGACTAACTTTAATCTTTTACAAGATGCTGTATTTTCTCTTCTTGGCAAGTAAAATGTCTTAAACACATTTTTCCCCCTCTGGGATTTCAGTTCTGACCTATAAGATAGAAGAACTTGGCAGTGAACTCAAGGAACATTACAAGATTGAGGCTTTTACTCCTCTTCTAGTCCCAGCACAAGTAAGAGTTACTCTAATTGTCCTTCCTAATTGATATTTTTAAATTGATAGTCAAACGGCATCCTCCTGCTTCCTTTTACTTCGTGTCTACATTCTAGTTAGAACGTCTGTCTTGGATGAATTTGGTAACTTGTGTCCCTCTGAAGAAGAACTTATAAGTGCTTTCTGGTTTTGTGACCAGAGAAGGTCATTTTCTTTCCACTTGGATTAGGGTCTCGCACATAAGCAAAGATCGAGGGCCTTAAGCATCCAGGTACCGGGAAATAAGAGCAGCAGTAAGGATAGGATTTCCAGAAATGGAGACTCACAGCCTCTCCCCTTCTTTGGTCTTTGTCATTAGGGACTGGCTGCTGGCATGTACCAGTGCTTTCTCTCTAGGCTGTATTTCGCTCTAAGGGGAGGTGTGTTCTAGAAGACTCTTTAGGGTACCTCTGTCTTATGTTTGCATTCAGAGTTGGAGAAGTTGGAGTTGCAGTTGGAGAAGATATGTAAAAACCATGTCATATAAGGAAGTTTCAGAGGAATTGGGAGGAAGTAGTGGAGGGGAGGCTGGGACGTACGATCTCGTTGGGAAAGATTAGACTTCCTTGGTTTGCCCCCCAGGAGTGGGATCAGGACAGAGGAAGCCACAGAGAGAGTAATTTCAGCTCAGTTTAACGAAGAACTTCCTGTTAAGAGGCTGTATGCTGTGTGGTTAAGGATATGGCCCTGGGGTCAAACTCCTGGGCTTCAAACCCAGGCTTCCCCCATTGTTTGACCTTGCCTAAAATGCCTAACCTTTCAGTTGCTGTTTTTTCTCATTTGTAACATGGATGCAGTCATAGTATCCACGTCACGGTTGTGAGGATTAAATGAGTTAATACCCATAGGCCTGTAGAACAGTGCCTGTGTTTAGTGAACTCAGTAAACGAGAGCTACTACTAACAGTTATCCAGAGGTGAGGGAGTGGGCTGCCGAGGGGGCAATTCCCCTTCGCTGGAGATGCTCCAGCTTAGGCAACCACTTAGAGGGGTCCAGGCCTTGGGTGGTGGATGGACCAGATGCCCCTTAAGGGTTCTTCCACCCCTGGGAGCCAGTGATGATGCTGGTGGTCGCCTTGGGCTCAAAATGATGCCCCACCAAGAAAAACGTGCATTGTTGTTTGGGGTCCGTTTTGCTCTTCACCGTATTGACCAGATTTTGAGCCCCTGTGCCAGAGACTGCTGTTCTTATGTGCCCCTTCGGTAGGAGCCCGTCACTCTGCTGGGCCAGATCGGCTGTGACAGCAACGGGAAGCTGAACCATAAGTCGGTGATTCTTGAGGGAGACCGGGAACACTCCTCAGGCGCTCAGATCCCAGTGGATCTCTCTGAGCTCAAAGAATATTCTCTGTTTCCTGGACAGGTGAGATCGGAGTGTCTCCACCGGGGCGCGGGCGTGCTGTTTGCTCCACAGTACGTGTGGTGGGCTGTGGCTCTAGGAGGAAGCATTTGTCACCAGCCAGCTGCCCCTCGCTTTTGACCTCTGGTGCCCAGTGGTGTAGCTGGCGCACAGGCCCGAGAGCAGACGCCAGTGTGGGGATTCCCACCTTTCTCTGCGTGCTCGGACCGTCGCTCCGGCATCTGCCAGCGGGTTCCAGTCCCAGCCCCACCCCACAAGGCGGTGATTATGGAGATGGTACTTAACCTCTCAAAGCCAGTGTGTCCTCATTTGTAAAGTGGAGATAAGAATTCTTACCTCATAGGAGTGTTGTAAAAATGAGATCGCTGTGTAGAGCATAATTATTACATGAACATAACCCCCTTGATTTGTTTTCTAGAAAAATACCCCCAAGGTTACAATTACAGAGTAAGAGCAGCTGGACAGTACTTTTAACTATATCAGAATAGCTTAGTCCAGGCCTCCTGTCTGCCGCCCCTGCTTTACAAGCTTGTCTGCTGCCTGTCTTTCAGGTTGTGGTTGTGGAAGGAACCAACACCACTGGTAGAAAACTTGTTGCCACCAGACTCTACGAGGTACCTGTGTGCCCCTCCCTTTTCCCCGGTGTGCCACAGGCACAGTGTGTGCGGCTGTCTGTCCTAGAACCCGTCCTTTGTAAGAGCCCGTTTATTTGCTTCTCAATTTTCTGTAGAGTGGGACCTACCTCTAGGTCAGGGCTTTGCAAAGTGTTCCGCTGAAGGGCAAGACAGTAAATATTTTAGGCTCTGCAGGCCACACGGTCTCTGTCATAATGTCAACCCTGCCGTCGCAGCACAAAAGCAGCCACAGACAACGGACAAGCCAGCAAGTGTGGCTCTGTGCCGGTTTGCTTACAAAGACAGGCGGTAGCCAGATTTGGCCCACAGCCTGTAGCTTACCTGTCCCTGCTCTAGCCAGTAGCCCTCCTCAGATTTCCAGAGGATGCAGGGCAAAGTGGCAGGTACCCTCCCCTCCCCTCCTCGCCCAGCAGGACCCTATGCCTTCAGGTTCCTGTTTCACTGCGGCTTTTTGCTAGGTGTTTCGTGAGTTTAGCCGTGACACCCACTACCTAGGTTTCTTTGCCACTCTGAGCAGTATGGGAAAATGGCAGGACTGTCAGTTTTGTGGGCTTTGAACTCCAGGGAGCAAGACACCAGCAAACCCACCCCTGTCCAGTGCCCACCCCTTTCCTGACCAAAGGCAGTGCCTGGGGCAGGACCTCACAGTAGCTTCTCTCCTGTTTGAAGGGCGTGCCGCTTCCATTCCATCAGCCCACTGAGGAGGCTGGAGGTAAGCTTTGCTTCAGAAGTTGTTTTGCCAACATTGAGGGTGGAGGGTGGTGGGCAATGGTCCAGGAGTGCAGTTCCTCAGGCCCCGGGAAAGCTTCCAAAGCTGTTTGAGAGCAGCGTGCCGGAGCTCTGAGGGCAACTGCGGACTGGTGGCGTCACAGGCCCTGTGAGGAAGACCAGGGATCTGAGCTTTGTCAGCATTATCACCCACGTTCTGATTCCACAAGGTGTGTCATTTAAAGACTCATGTGTAACAGGTATTTGAAGATTGCTTTGAAAAGGGGAAAGAGCAGCAACTTATTATCATTATTTTTTAAAGAGCAGCAATTTAAAAAAGAATTTTATTTAAATGCCGTGTAATATCCTGGATTGGATCCTGGAAGAGAAAAGGGACATTAGTGGAAAAACTAGTCACATTTAAATAAAGTCAGGAGTTAACAGTAGTACGCCAGTGTTAATTCCTTGATTTTGACAAATGTATCGTCATTATGTCAGATGTTAACGTTCGCGGATGCCGGGCGGAAGGTGTACATACGGGAACTCTACTATGGAACTTTGGAACTTCTCTACAATTCTCAAGTTATTCCAAAATAAATTTATTTAAAAGTTAGACAAATTTCAGTGGAGGATGGATATAGCTCAGTAGTAGAGTGTGTGCATAGCAAGCACAAGGCCCTGGGTTCAATCTCTAGTACTTCCATTAAAAAAAAATAAAACCTAATTACCTCCTGTAGAACCGCCCCCCCGCCAAAAAAAAATACACAATGCTGTATGTCAACTGTATCTCAGTAAAACTGAAAGAAAAAAAGAGACTGATGTTTTTAAAAATTAGATTTCTCAGAAAGCCAAGAGGTATTTGGTAACTAACCTAGATGGGAAAAGACAAACGCTTTAATAAACTTTGCTTCAGAAATAATTCCAAGCATTTTTCTAAGAAGAGCAGAAGATTATTAAGGATTAGCAGTGAGATACAGGCTCACCCCTCCACATTAATACTGTGTGAGTTCATTCTTAGAGACAACCTGGAATCAGGAATGAAATTTAGGAGTTTCTGGCATTGCACATTCTGTCAGAAAATAAGTGTTTATGGCAACAAGCATGCTGATGTGAGATTGACTTCAGGGAACGGGCAGGGCTGAGATGCCTGAGCTGTGGCAGGGAAGCCTCTGGAAGCCGTTGAATAGGCTGTTATGGGCTCAATGTAGTCAATCATGAGGGTGCTTTTAAGAGGGAGGACAGGAGGGTGATACTCAGAGAGATTAGGAATGTTAGGCTGCTGGTTTTCAGGGTGGAAGAGGGGCCGTGAGCCAAAGATTGCTAGCAGCCTCCAGCAGCTGGAAACAGACTCTCCCCAAGGGCTCCAGAAGGAGTGCAGCCCTGCCCACACCTTGATTTTGGGACTTCTGACCTCTAGGACTATAAGATAACAAGTGTGTGTTGTTCGAAGCCATGAGATTTGTGGTGAGTTGTTACAGCAGCCACAGGAAACTAATACAGCTGCATATTAAGAAGTCAGGCTCTCTGGGTTTCGTTGTTGTGAGCTATGGAACCCAGTCCAAACTAACTTAAGAAAAAGAGATTTTGTTAGGGGAGGTCCAGGTAGTTCATGGACTAGACAGGTGGCTGGAAATTCAGGCTTCTAACCCGTATTAGGGTTTAGTAACTCTAGGGGTCCAGGTGGGTGGAGTTACCCAACTACCCCATCCAAGCACCTCTACTGGGATGGGTCAGCGCCAACCTTTTTTCTGTCCTTGGATGGTTTACCTTTAGACTCCACAACCCAGAGGAGAGTGTGAAGGACTTAAACTGGGTCGCGTGCCTGCTCCTTGGCTAGGTGAGGACAGTGCGCCTGGTTGGTAGCCCCACCTCAACTGCCTTATGGAGGCAAGGCTGATCCTCCCAAAGGAAAGCAGATGCTGTGAGGAAAAGGGCGCCAAGAACAATGCCCCTGTGCCCCATCACACAGGAGTCCCCATTCCAAGCCTCGCATCCACCTGTCTCCCTGCGCTCCTCAGTATGCCACATTCTCCAGCTGCACTCATCACCTGCCAGCCCTTCACACTGAGCACTCTCAAATCTTAGTGCCTTGCCCTTGCTCCCGGAAAACTACTTACAACTGTAAGCAAAGTGAAATCAAATGTAAGCAAAGTCACAAAAAGATAAATCCTATATGGTTCCTCTTAGACGAGGTTCCTAGAGTCAAAAATCATAGAAGCCGACAGTAGGATGGTGGTTGCCAGGGGCTGGCGGAGGGAGGGTGGGGAGCTGGTGTCTAGTGGGTACAGAGTTTCACTTATACAAGGTGGAAAGTGATGTGGAGAGGGGGTGGGGGGAATAATTGCACAACATTATGAATTTATTTAGTATCACAAAAAAGTTTACTTAAAAATGGTGAAGATGGTAAATTTTATGTTATGTGTATTTTACCACAATAAAAAAAAATGCCGGAGGGAAACCACTTAAGCGAATGTCGCTTTGCTCCATCCTGCCCTCACCACCACTACCTCCCTCACTCGCGCACTGGCGGTAGAGCGTCTGTCGAGTTCTAGTTACTTGCGTGCTTATCTCTCCCTGCCTGCTGGTGGAGGATTCTTTGAGGGTAGGATGAGGTCTTACTCCTCTTGGATTCCAGTGTTGCACACATTAGGAGGTTCAGTCAGTTGAATCCTGTGGCATCTTTCCCTAACTGTCGTTCCTGCCCACATCCCAGTGTCTTCTCGTCAACACCTTAACTATCCCTTCTGTCATAGATTCTGAGCAGATCATGGTCCTGGTGGCCTGTGGACCGTACACCACGTCTGACAGCATCACATTTGACCCCCTGCTTGACCTGATCGCCGTCATCAACCGAGACCGGCCGGATGTCTGCATCCTGGTAGGCAGCCCTGCTGGGACAGCTTTGCTTGGGGAGGCACCAGCGGGGAAACTGGGGAGCTGGTCTTAGAAAAAGGTCTAATGAGGTTCTACATTTTTAGGAAGTGTGTCAGACTCTCCTCCTTTTTAAAAGTACTTTTTAGTTCTTAGTCTACATCTTTGGCAAGATGTGTATAGTCTTAATCCAAAAGCCCAAGATTTTTTGCCATTCTTCATTAATTTTACGGCATTCTCACCTCTATCTTATCACTCCAACTTGTGAGCTAATCTCTCTGAAAGCTCAAAGTTCTCCTGCATGGAGGTAGATTTCCCCTGCTGGGTTGAGAAGGAAAAAGCCCACTATTGTAGGAGGCAGTGCAGCTAGTTTTGGGGCCCCAGTGGCCCCCTCCATCCAAGGCTCAGCTCCTTCTGCCTGTGATATTGGCTAAGCGCCCCAAACCCATCTGCCTCCTGTTCCAGGCTCTATAGGCGGCCTTGGAGGGACACGTGGGTCCTGGGCAGAGAGCTGCTAGGAGAGGTTATGGGAAGGTGCTCACAGACCCATGTGGTTCTCATTTGTTCTTTTGGTACCTTTGTTTCCGCCCCCACCCCCACCTCGGCTTATTTGCAGTTTGGACCTTTCCTGGATGCTAAGCATGAACAGGTTGAGGTGAGTGACTGGGGTTGGGGTGGGGGAGATACCAGATACCTGCACTCAGTTGAGCCCTTGCTGTTACTTTCATCTCGGAGTTTATCCTGCATCTGTTACAACCTAAATGAATCCCTGTGGCTTATTAGGAATACATTATTGCAGGGCATTTTTAATAAAGATACCGAATTTAAGGGCATCATTTAAGGGCACCAGAATACAAAGTTTGGAAGCTGGGGCAGGGGTTACAAATATCCGAGCCTGTCGCTGAGGCACAGGGGTAGGGGCAGGCATGGTGTCACTGGGTCCTGGAGCTCTGCTAGTGAGAGGACCTTCCTGGCTGCTCCCCTCAACTCTGACCCACGTCTTGCTGTCCTTTGAGCATAAAACACAAATGGCCCTTCTGAGGACATTTCCTCCCTTTGTCTCAGGGGAGACACAACCCGCAGAAAAGACTGCACAATGCTCTTCTTCCTAGTCTTTCCCGTAGCTCACATTCAGGAAGGTTAATTCTTCCCCCATCTCCTTTCCTGCCGCCAACTACACTCCACTCCTGGAGGACAGAGACCACAGCTTTTCCATCTTTGCATCTCTCCTTCAGCTCCTTGCTCAGCGGCTGGTGCCCAGGGTCACCTAACAGACGCTCAGCAAGTGAACAGACACCGGCCATCTGCCCTCTAAGTCTGTCTCCTTTCTGTTCTTGCAGAGCTGTCTACTGACAAGCCCATTTGAGGATGTTTTCAAGCAATGTCTACGAACAATTATCGAAGGGACACGAAGGTCAGAATTCAAAACGCTGGACAGAACCTTAAGCTTCCCAAGTTTCTCCAGGGATTTCCCGTTCAGAAGTCATGGCAGTTCCCATCCTTTCATGCTTTTGAACCAAGAGATCAGATAAAACTCTTGAACTTCAAGTGCACCGATGCCGAGAGGCGTCTTTGTAAAACACAGAGATAAACACACTTGAAAGGAGAAGGCTACACAGGCTTTCTCTCTTCCCTTGCTCTTTCTTTACTTCCTTCCTTTTCTCACCCCTTTTTGTGTAAACTCATATTCCTCAGGGATCTTCCCGGATGCTGCTGAGGAGTGTTTGATGACTTACACAACCAAATCCCAGGGGGCCCTAATGGCTCGTTGTGTGAGCAGGAGTTTTGGGGTAAGCCCGAGTCCTTCCCCGAGTGCATGCTTCCCCCTGTTTTGAGGGCACTGCCAGTGCCTCAAGTGAGCCATGGTAGAAACTCATGGGGGAGGGAACCTGGAATCATTGCCAGGGACCAAGAGACAGAACTGTGAAAGGCCACAGCAGCAAGGAGAGATGGCAGTTCTAATTTGAGAGCAGAGTCTATTCCAGGAAGAGTCTAAAGCTAGAAGTAGAAAGTTTTTCAGGAAGCTGACACCCCCACTTCCTGTCCCTCCCATCCAGAGCCAAGGTTTGCAACAAATTGGTACAGGTGGACATCCTCTGGGGATGTGCCTCCCTGCAGCTGAGCGCATCAAAAACAAGCATTCCTGAGGCTAAGCTTTTAAAAATAAGTCTGTAACAAAGGTTGTTTTTAAAATAAGATGTATAATCTTCTGCCTTCTGGCCGTGAGAACTGATTCCAGAGTCGATTTGTTGTAATACTACCTTTTTGCACCAGCAGTGTGAGCCAGCGTTGGACGCAGGACTGGGGAGGAACACTCCCTAACTGACCCCAGAGTCAGGGCACTGGAGTCGTGCCACTGACATCCTGCAGCTGGACCTGCCCCTCCCTCCCTGCCTCCCTTCCTCCAAGGGAGATAACACAAGTGCCTTCCCTCTTGCTTCCCAAGTTTGTTGTGACCCTAAAGGAGGTTGTCAGACATGGAGAAGCCGCACGCTTCTCAGGAGATACATCCCCGAAAAACAGGAGCAGGGGTGGTGCCCCTGTTTTGTCAGCCCTAGGTCCGCTCTGGGATAGGCAGGGACTTTGGGGCAGGGCCCCAGCACTGGCTGGGTGCTTTCAGTTTGAGTTTGGGTTCTGCTTTTGGTGCCTCCCCCATGTGGTATTGACAGCAGCGGTACAAACAAAGAACAAGCAGGCATTGTTACGCAGGCTGAGCTCCCAGCACCACCAGGCACTTTCATCTGCAGCCAGTGTGCGCCTCGGGGGAGGGGAGCTGTCCCGCCCTTCCCAAAACAGTATATCCACGGACCTCTTTGGGGGAATGTAGTTTTATTCTGAGAGGTGAGAAACACAGAGCCTTAAGCTGATTTATCTGTAGAAACCAGAGCCAGTGAAGAAGCACCTCCCTCCTAAGAGCTGAGAAAACCCAGGAGCTCACGTCCTGCTTGAGGGAGCGGCTGTGAGGACCCTCCCACCATGATGTATGAGGTTGTGCAATGCTCAGCATAGTTGGAATTTTCTCTCAGATCCCTCCCCCTCCAGCCGGTCTAACCATGAGCAGGAGGGCCATTTCCTCCTCAGCCGCTGCTCTTCCAGCGTCTGCGCAAAACAGAGCAGTTCCATCTCTCAACAGCAGCCATCTGTACCTCTGCCCTCTGTGTCTCCCACAGACCGTGAGCCCCAGGGATCTGGAGCTCAGGCTGTCCCCATCAGGTCACCCCCGGCCTCTTTACCAGACTTCGGCACCCAAATCTGTGGACTTGAACAGTTACAGGGATGGGGGACTATAACTAATTTGCCAAGTACCTTTGGTCTTAAGATTCTGATTTTCTGTTGCAGAAGTCTGACAATCGAGTGACAAGTGTGACAGCCATCACCAACACTTTATCCCATACAAGAGGCAGCTATGTACCTGTATGGGACCTGTCCCTGCACCTGGGAAGGCCACAGCATTTTAAGCAAGAGAAGGAGCTGGGAGTGAGAGCTATTGGTAGATGTCAAACATGCCCCCAATGTAACAATTTACTCCTGTTGGTTTTCCTAGGCCCCTGTGCCAGGGACAGCTGAGCCAACCTAGGAGTCAGGGTTTTTCCTTCCTGTTTGGTGGCTGAGGAGGATAAAGAGTTGTCCCCTACAGTTAAGGGGTTTTTCTTCACTTATATGTTGTAACCCTAGAGATTCTCCTTCTGCCTCCATCAAAGGAAACATCTGTCATCTCTGCTTTTACTGTTGCTCTTAGATATTTCTTTCATTTTTGCAACACAGTCTGCTGAGAAATAAAAACCGAAGGCATTGATTCTCCAAGCGAGAGAGGAGGGTGGGCTCTGGGAGAAGCCAGTTGGGTCTCCCCGCCCCGGATCGACTGGCATGCCTGGTCCCTCCCTAGGGAAGAGCCCGCGGTCAGGGAGGCTGCGTGACGCCTAAAAGCCGCAACTGTTCAGTGTGAAGTCAGAACTGTGGCTCCAGCTCTGGCTCTGAGGATTTCGGGTCAGACTCTTTTCTTTCTAGATTTCCTAGACCTCAAATTCTTCTCCCCTTTTTCTCCCAAACAGTAGTCCCCCCTCTCCAGCGGAACATCACAGGGAGCCAGGAGGAAGTATGCTCTGGGCGGCCCAAGCCACATCGAAGTGGTCATGTGTAAATTAGTACAAACTGTATTTCATTCACAATCTGTTCATAGAAGAGTTCGGTCCTGAAATTCTTCTGTGGATGTGGGGTCTTGTATCAAGCTGTGACACTTGCATTCTTTCACCCAGCTGTCCTCACTCAATGCACTCATTTTCCTTCCATTTCTGGCGATTTTTTGGCCAAGTAGCTCCGGCTCCCACCTGGTCTTCGTCCCGTCGCTAAGAGACGTGCACCACGAGCCCGTGTACCCACAGCCTCCCTTCAGCTGCCCCGACCTGCCTCGAGAGGACAAAAAGGTACTGGCGTCTGCTCCTTGACCAGCGAGCAGCCAGAATCGAAGGTGGCCCAGTGCTGGCCCGGGAGTGGGGTGGGGATGCCTTTTTGAGGCGTGCCTAGGGCCTGCGTCTTAAGCACCTCTTTATAACAGGCAGATGTGTGATTCACTGTACGTTGGTTTGGTCCCCCTTTCAGGGATCTCCCCAGCCCTTGAAGACACCCCCCCTAACCTGCATGGAGAAGAAGTTTCTGGCTTTGGTTTGCAAATGTCCCACCCTTTCCCATTTTAGCGCGTGCAGTTTGTGTCTGAGCCCTGCACCCTCTCCATAAATGAAGTGATCTTTGGCCTGACGTCCACCGATCTGCTGTTCCACATGGGGGCTGAGGAGATCAGTAGGTAAGACGTGTATTCCAGTCCAGCTGGCAAGACGCTGACCCTCGGATCCTGGTCCTTTCCTTGGCCACGGGGCTACTTGGCAGAGTCATGAGCGGGCAGCCCTCAGAGCAGCACTTTCTGCCCAACCCTTTGACCACTGAGTTTCCAGGTGCCCACAGGGAGCATTTGGCCTGTGTGTTTCTGTTACCACTTGTCTCTACAGTGTTTGAGACCCTGAAGAAACACCTTCATTCCATCTTCACGCTTAATTTATCATCATAGAAATTCATCTGCTTTCTTCATTTGCCACATCTGTGACTTAAATAAGATGTCCCACTTGTGGAAGATGGCTGTGAATTTACCCGCGGGGTGTTCTCCCTCCCAGAACAGTGTGTAGCTCTGCAGAGGATCAGACGCCGCAGCCGAATCTGTTGAGCTGCGCTTCAGCAGTTCAGCTCTCCCATCGCCTGGGATGGGGAGGCGGGAGAAGCAGTTCATGTGTTGAGTGAGACGGGTGCGCTGACTGGCTCTGGCTTGAGGGGCGAGAGTCACCCAAGCTACAGCTCACCTCACACTGGTGCAGACCTCGCCACAGGGCTGCTAATGACCTGCCTCGGCCCTAATCACAGGGGGCTCCCACTGTTTTGCCACTGAACCCAGTGTCCAGCTCCCCTCTTGTGTGGAAACAGACCGAGCCATTTATGGGCAGATCTTTAAACTTCCCCAGAGGTACCTTCTTGTCAGAGGCCTTGGCCACATCACTTCTCTCTAGTTTAATAAATCCTCGAGTCCTCCCTGAAGAGAAGCAAGCACTAAAAAACAAGGTTCTACACTCCTTTTCTTGCTTTTTTTCCTTTCCCAGTTCTTCTGGAACTTCAGACAGATTCAGCCGAATACTCAAGCACATCCTGACCCAGAGGAGGTGAGCCTGCCCGCTGGAAGAGCTGACCGCGAAGAGAGTGCTTTGGGGTCACTGAGCTCTGACACATTTGACTGAGAGCCTTCCCTGGGCCAGCACCAGGGAACTCCTCCCTGGGGTGACAAGCCTGCACCCTGTCCCCCAAACCCAGAGGGGAAAGGAACAGATGGTCTGTGGAAGCTGGAGACCAGTGACATGGAGGGATCCTTTGGGGAGGGGCCCCAAATCCACTGCTGCTAACGTTTCTCTCTGTCTCTGCAGCTACTACCCACTCTACCCGCCCCAGGAGGACGTGGCCATTGACTACGAACATCTCTATGCCTGTGCACAGCTGCCCGTCACCCCAGATGTCTTCATCACCCCTTCCGAGCTGAGATACTTCGTGAAGGTAGGTGTGAGCTCCGCTGTTTCCCAGAAATACCAGAGCCAGTCTCTGACTCCCTTCTAGTCTAGAAGTACCAGCTCTCCCTCCTCAAAGGTCTCCTGCCCGGCACGGAGGCCTCCTCTCTTGGGGGAGGTGGTAGGGCTAGAAAACAAATCTGTTAGTAAAATGCTTAAGTAAGCAGCGTCCCCTCGCTGCCCTCTCCCCCCAGAGCATGGTGCTCTGTCGGCCCAGCTTGGGAGCCCCGGGGGCAGGTAGGAAGGCTCTCAAACTATGGTTCTCATAGACACACCCCAATTCTGATATGACCTCCAAGCAGCTTTCTCATCCTCGCCTCTGCTGCCTGAGGCCTTGCCCTAAGGATCAGATCCTCACAGGAAATTCACCTGACCAATGCCCTCTTGCTAAACCAGCCACTTCAGCCCCAAGAGGTAAACTTTTTTCACATTGAAAAACAAATAGATCAAGTTTGTCTCCAAGTTTGGGAGCTGACCGTCTGCCTGCCGAGTCTCCTTCTTTAGTCTGTTTCAGAGACTCAAAAGGCATTCAGAGTTTTCCAATATTAAGTTAATTTATTTGACTTCACAAGTGTTTTGTTGCCTTCATTTCCATTTTATAAAATCCTCTTTGGGGTCTGTTACATGATTCCAGCGTTTTCACATCAGTCTTGCTAGTTTTGGCCTTTCTTTTGTCTCCCCAGGATGTCCTTGGCTGCATCTGTGTGAATCCCGGGCGCCTCACCAAAGGACAGGTAGGGGGCACCTTTGGCCGACTCTACATCAGGAGGCAGCCGGCAGACAGTGGCGAGGGGAGGCGGAGTCCGTGTGCTGCCGCCCAGGTGGTCAGAATCTGAGGCTCGGCCCTTTGCATCTCCCACCGTGCGGGCCTCCAAGACATCTAAAGCCTGGGAGCAGCCCTCCAACAAGATCCCGCCCGTGGAAGGAGAGGAGGCAGCCAGCTGGGGAGGAGAGGGCCGCGGGCAGCGGGCCCAGCGGGAAGGCCTGGAGCAGCTGGACCTCCACCCTGAGCTGGACTTCTCTAGAAGAAAGCTATTGTTTCGTCATGGACACGTGGAGTCCAGAGTGAATTGGCCGTGGATGCAACACATTCAGGAAAGTCAAGGCTTTGCAGTTTCCTACATTAGTCAGACACAGAAACAACTTTTGGAGAAATGAAAATAAATTCTGTAACTTCTGAGTCGAATCTTTCTTCTGTCCCTTTTTCCTGGTGAACAAAGAATGTTGCCTCCTTGACCTCTGTCCAGAGAAGGCAGAGTGTCATGCTGGGCTTCTGCATGGTTCCAGCCCTGGCTCCCGCATGGTTCCAGCCCTGGCTCCCATCCTCCTCAGGCTGCTCCCAAGGCCCCTGCAGCCTCTGTGCTGAGAAGGTGCTGGGCTCAGGCAGCCGAGCAAGCAGCTGGCTGCGTGCCAGGCCCTCCCGGCGCAGTCCTAGGCGTGCCGTGGTCCCAGCCTGACCTCTCCATCTGGAGGGGGCGGCCTCCCGAGCTGCGCCAGAGCTAGATTCCCTCGTGCTGGCTCTGCTGAGTTGCACAGCAGCGCGGGGCTCCCCTCCTGCCCAGAACACTTGGACGAGGCCGGGCCTTCCAGGGTCCCCAGCGTGTCCCCATGCCTGCGTGTCCTGGCATCTGGGGAGAGGCTGTCACTGGCTAAACACGAAGTGGGTTTCTACCCTCAGCTGGCAGGCCATCCTGCCTCACATGCCAAAGCTAAGCCTGGAAACCCCCAGCTGCTGGGCCGAGAGGTGTGTGAGGGAGCAGCCGTGCCGAAGCCTTGAGTCAGAGATAAATAGGTAACCTAGCAGTGTCCAACCTTTGCCTCTGTCCTGCGACAGTGAAATGGAATCAACAATACATCTGACCGGACTTCAGTAAAACTGGTCTCCCTTGGAAAGCAAGCAGCTGCTCTTGTTTCATTCATTTTAGAGGCACCTCCTCTGAAGACACGAATTAGATAACAGGCCCCAGGTTGCGGAGCTGATTTTTCCTCCTCCCCAGGGTTCCCCACATAGGAAGCACCCAGCCATGGTCCAAAGGGCCAACGTGACTTATCAGTCTCAGGATGTGGCATTTTTAGAGCCCGGGACCCACAGAGTTGCTGCAGTTAGAGAATGTCATTTGTATTTCTATAAGCCAAATGTCAGCTAAAAATCCACCCCTCCCTTCCTTGGAAAACCCTTGCCTGGGAAGATTAGCCAACAGGCCTTTTGCCCTGATAAACAAGGCTCTGAACACTTACCGTGGAAGCTCAGGTGTGGTTCCTGGGGCGCCATGGCTCTGGCAGTTATTTTCACATTGCTGCTGAAGGAGCCTTGTAACGTCTGATGCCCACTTGACAAGAAGATCCAGGGGCCCCAGTGGGATGGGGGCGGCTGGCAGGAGTGTGGGGGCGGGGAGGGAGGCGTGTGCAGGGCAGGGGGAGGCAGTGGTGTGCAGGGCAGGGGGAGGCAGTGGTGTGCAGCCCGAGGGCTGGGGTGGTGGGGGGAGGTGGGGGTGATGCTGGAGCTCGCGTGAATGGGAGAGAGAGCCGGTTGCCTGGATACAAGTCGTGTGATTGCTGGCAATGCTCTGGCAGGGCCAGAGCAGGCATTTAAAACAAACAAAAACAGCAGGATGCGAACCCCTGATTGCAGACAGGTCTGGCAGCCACGTGCCCCTCTGACACTAGACGGTTCCCTTTTGCTCTTGGCAGGAAGTCGGTGCCCAGAGACTGCCAGCTGACTGCTCCTAGGCCCCTCTTTAGCTGGGTCACCAATTTCCTGAAGCCTCATCCCTCCTGCTCGTGTGGGGCTCTTGCTCCTGCCTGCTGTGGGGCTCATGACCTCCAAAGTAAGGCTCTGGGTGGGGACGTTAGTGATGGAGGGTGGAGAAAGCCAAGAAGCCTGGACTGGGCCTGGACTCCTGTGACCCATTTGTTTCAGAACCCCCTTTGGTGGCATGTCCCCTGGTCCTGGTCATGCCCTGTGCCCTTGAGACATAAGCCCAAGGGTGAGGCAGATGGGTCTGAAGAAGCCAAGCCTTGCAGTCTTACCAAGTTGCCTCCATGCCTCACTGCCCCAGCCCTGCCTTTGCAGAGTGATACCTCTCACTCACTGGTCTGGCGGGGCCTGAGGCTGCCCTCCCTTGACCCCTACATAGCCACCCTTCAGGATTTAGGCTCTGTCTATACGATGGTCAGGGGAGGGCTGCTGGGGGAACAGGAGCCCCTCAGAGCTCCGCGTGTGGGAACACAAGTGAATGCCAAGAACGAAGATGGAGGCTTGCGGGGCTGGGGAGTCCTGGAGGCTGGGGGCCCCACAGGGCCGTAGTTCTGCTCCTCTGGCCCCCATCCTGCTCCACCTCCCGCAGCCACCTCAGGCCTGGTGTTTCCTTTTCCTTGACTCAGGGTCACCCAGCCTGGTTCAGCCCAGCCCTACCACTTCCCCAGAGCTGGGAGTAGCCGTTTGGGCTGATACTTCATTTCTCTGTTTGGTACACACTTCCTTTCCCTTGACCCTGAGGCTCCTGACTGAGCCACCTGAGAGCCAGTCTTGGCTGGACACACATGGCCTCTCCCTCCAGACAACCCTCTAACTAGATGTGAAAGGCCTTGACCAACAAAGGGACTTAGTTTTTTTCACATTTGAAAAAACATTATTGGGGAGAGGGTATAGCTCAGTGGTAGAGCATGTGAGTTAGCATGCATGAGGTCATGGTTTCAATCTTCAGCACCTCCATTAGAATAAACTACAAAATAAAATAAAATAATGTAAAAATGTACACAACATTGTAAACTGACTATAACTCAATAAAAAATAAAAATAATGTAAATGTAAAAATGTAAAAAATTTAAAAAATTT